CCCCCCCCCCCCCCTACACTTGAGCAGCAGCTTGTCGCTGCCAACCATCCCTTGCTCACCGTCACCAGCTCCCCCACGGCAGCAGAGTAGACGTAGTCTGACGATGAGGAAGTAGTCTCGCTCCACTCGATTCCATAGACCCCTACGCCTGCGGTACAGAAACTTGCCGCTGTTGCCAAGGTTGGCAACAGCCGTCGCCTCCCCACAATCGCCATCCCTGCTGGCTTACTACGCGTCTGCTGTTCTTTGAAAGAGCGCTTAGCCCTCCTGGAAGGCAGCAGGAGCACGCGTGCGTGACCACGATACCCCGGGGTGTGTGTGCGTTGGGGTGCACTGAGCGTTATTTGGAGAAAACGTGATGACCAGAGATTGGAGAAATGGAAAGTGTGTGGCGCAACCACACTTTGCCAACGTCCCGTCGAAGGCTCGGACAAAACGCTGACAGCAGCAGCAGCAGCAGCAGCAAAACCAATCGCAGAACAACGCGCATACGCACCCAACGCTCAATGGGCGTGTGCGTCTCCCGGAGGGACCCAAGAACAGAACAACAACTAAGTCGACTTTGGCCCTGTGCCCTGTTCACCGATCGCTCGGCATATTGTACACAAATGTCATCTCACCTCGTCGGGAACCCAACAAAAACGGTACAATACGTAGCGGGATGAACCACAACTGGGCGGGCCTTTCGTCTTCAGCAAAGCGAGCGCTCGCTCGCTCTCTCTTCTCTCGCTGTTCACGCTTGAACAACCGCACACCGGACAGGAAATCGGCGTGCTTCTCTCCCTTCGTTCTCGAAGTTTCCCACTGGTATGTACGTGAGCGCAGTCTGTCCGTGTCTCCTGCCTGCTGTGCAATCACAGGTCCGGTTTCGTATGTGGTCTGTGGTTTGTTTGCCTTGTATATGAGCACAGGGGGTGTCCAATATAATCTGCGTATCCCCCGATCGCGCCGTCGCTTGACACAGGGGTCTCGCTCGGCCCGCTCCTCGCTCAGCAGTCAGCTGCAACTGCGCAGAGAGGTGGCAATTGCTTCGGCGCTTTGGCTCGCTGATAGAGGTTGGCAAAAAATGGCACCCACAGAGCTTCGACGATTGCGCGGTGAGCCAGTCGACGGCATGCGGAACGGATGGGCAACCCTTGTACCATATCTTTCGCCGCGCGCCATCATATTCATATATTCAGCAGCAAGGCTAGGCAGCAATTTTTGAATTTGAGATGTCGAGGACAAGTAAGTCTAACACACCCACCCATCGATTGTTGCACGCGCGCTTCGACCGCGGAGAGCCCCACGTTGAAGTAAAAGGGTAAAGGGCCGTTGCATGCTTGTGTGGCGATGCGCATCATGTGTCCATCACCCGTGACATACCGGTGAACAAATACTGCAGTCTAGTCTTAGAGATGAAGGACATTTGAATTTTTTGTTGAACAGAGTCTTGATTATTGGCCGAGTACTGCTCTGTGAAGTGATAAGCAGGGTGCGACTGCTGTCGTGGTGTGTGGTAGCATCTGCCGGCGGCTAGTTGACCTTTCGAACCCTTGTGTTGTGTATTCAGTAGCTGGTTTACGGTGGGGCTTCCCGGCCAACGCACGTATGATGCAAGCATTGCGCCTCTTACACTGCTCTGTAGGATGTTCTTGCCTAGAATGTAGCGGCCGCCGCAGGTGCGTTGACCAATCAGCGAACTGCCCGCCACAAATGTTTTTCTCTGATTGGTCAACGCAGTTGTATTTTTGCATTTATTTTTTCTGAAGATCTTCCAGCAGGATTGCACTCACGGTGAAGCGTACGGTACAGCAGTAGTCCACGGCTTGTATTCTACAAAACTTGGCACCAAAGAGTACACTTTTGCATCAAAGCAACAGCTTTCCCTCTTCGAGATGTTTCCGACCTTCGTGCTTTAGCATGATCACCACGTCTCCGCTAGTTTTCGACTACCCTGAGTTGTGAGGGCAGATCTTGCAAGCTTCGCATGTAGAGTTCGACAAACGTCGCAACATACGCTGAGCGTACCCCTATATGTATCTCCATGCTTGTGGGTGCCCTCCCCCACTCCCACCCCCCCCCCCCCCCCCCCC